TCTGGTCATGCTTGATACCATTAGAGAGGTTCCCTAACACTTCTGGATTATCATTAATGGAGTTCACAGAGGTTGCTGTCCTCTCCTCTATGGTACCTGCAGAGGTCACAGGTGCTGTTGCTGGTATCACAGTGGGCTCTGGTTACCCTCTGCAGCAGTCTCTGTGGATGTTAGAAGGATTTCCAGAGAACCAGATGTGCTCTGTGGCATAGTCTAGTAGATACAGGTTGCCTACACCTTTTAGCCCTTCTGGTAATGAAGGCAGCTGCATAAAGCTAAATCTTAACTTTAGTCACCAATTTTCTGTTTGAACTGCAGTCTTTAGATCCACAAAAAGATATCACACATGTAACACGGCATATTAAATACCAAATGTGACCAGTACACAAACTTTATATGCTAGGTATGCTACAATAACTACTACAGCTAATCCCTGTAGTGCCAGAGAATGGTTGTTATCATATAGTCCTGTGATTTTGTATCTCTAGTCCTAGGCTCTATACTAGTCCTAGTAGCAGGCCATGAGCTTTGCACTGAGTTTGCAAGGCCTCAGGACTGAGGATTTTCAGGCTTGCTCTAGCTAAACTTTTCTTGGCCTGTCTGCAGCTTGGTGTTATTTGGATTGTCTGTGGTACCAATTTCACTAAATGATCGGTTTTCTATGGCTCATTTCATAGAAACGTAGAATGGTTTGTATTGGAAGGGACCTTAAAGATCATCTATCTCCACCCCCCCTGCCATGGGCAGGGACACCTTCCACTAGCCCAGGTTGCTCAGAGCCCCGTCCAGCCTGGCCTTGAACACTGCCAGGGAGGGGGCAGCCACAGCTTCTCTGGGCAACCTGTTCCAATGCCTCACAACCCTTTTTGTAAAAAAATGTCTTCCTTATATTTAATCTAAATATACCCTCTTTTCAGTTTAAAACCATTACCCCTCACCCTATCACTATACACCCTCATAAAGAGTCCCTCCCCACCTTTCCTGTAGGGCCCCTTTAAGTACTGGAAGGCCTCTATAAGGTTTCTCCAGAGCCTTCTCTTTTCTAGGTTGAGCAACACCAACTCTCTCAGTCTGTCCTCACAGGAGAGGTGCTTCAGCAGTGACTGATCATCTTTGTGACCCTCCTCTGGACCTGATCTAACAGTTCCATATCATTCTTGTATTGGGAGCCTCTGAGCTGAACACAGTACTCCAGATGGGATCTCACAAGAGCAGAACAGAGGGAAGATTTTGTTTTATTTTTGTCATCTTTCCATGGTACCACCATGATGTTATGAGTATGTAGTGTAGACAAATGCAGGCTTGGTATGACAGCAAAAAATTCTTAATTTTATATATAAGCTCTGTTTCTCCTTTGGTCATAAACAACACTTTACCTATCATTAAGCTTAGTCTAGTCTGTATTCTTCCTTCAGCATACTAAGGCTAAACACACATTTTTATACAGCTCCATTGAGGTACTTGTTTGGAAAGAGTGGAGTTATGCAGCAAAATCCAATGTAGCTATCCAGAGCTGCTTTCCCATGGTCCAGAAGCCTCAGGCAGGATGCAATTGTATTATGCATAAGTTGCTTTTAGTTCCCAATATGGAAAATGTCTCCATATTTCATTTCCACATAAAAAAATTGAATTAGTTTCAGTAAATCATGCATTACAGAAACTCAGACTTGTCTCTAATGTCAGATTCAGCAATAAAATTCAACTATAACTATACACCAATAACAGAGTAGGGCATGTATTAAGGTTGGGGTAGACATCAATCTTTAAGTCAGTAGGCCAACAAGAGGAAAAAAGGTGAAAAGATTAATTTCTGTACAGAAAATATGTCATTTTCAACTACAACTAGTAGTTTTGCAGGGGTAAATTCAATAGTAAATTTGCAGGTAAGTGCATAAATGTTGTTTAGGGCATAAGTCAGAACACAGTGGAGCACTGCAGCTATTGCACTCCGAATGTAGCTCTGTGTCCTTCGCTTTGAAAGGTATCTAGCTGTTCTGCTTTTGGCTGGGATAGGGTTAATTTTCTTCCCAGTCACCAGTACAGTGCTGTGTTTTGGATTCAGTGTAAGAATAATGTTGCTAACACACTGATGCTTTAGTTGCTGCTAAGTAGTCTTTGTCCTAAGTACTCTTCAATTTCCCATGCTCTGCCAGCGAGCAGGTGCACAAGAAGCTGTGAGGGAGCGTGGCCAGGACAGGTGACCTGAACTATCCAGAGGGTTATTCTGTACCATAGGATGTCACGCTCAGTACATAAACTGCGGGGAGTTTGCGGGTGGGGGAATTGTTTCTGGGGTTTTAGTCAGTGGGTGGTGAGCAATTGCATTATGCATCACTTGTTTTATTTTCCTCTCCCTCTTTTTATTATATTCATTTTAATAACAATTATTATTATAATATTTTGTTATTATTGTATTTTATTTTATTCTAGTTATTAAACTGTTCTTATCTCAACCCACAAGTTTTACATTTTTTGATTCCTCTCCCCCTCTCACTGGGAGGGGGGAAGGAGTGACTGAGGGGCTGCGTGGTGCTTAGCTGCTGGCTGGGGTTAAATCACAACACCAGTACGCAGAGAGTAGGAGTAACAGTTGTTCTGACTGAAAGGAACAGATCTGCATGTTGGGGGTATCAGGCAGACCTGACAGCCAAAGAGAGGTGAGGCTGATTGCAGCTTCATGCCCACAGGTCCAACCAGTATCAGCTGGGCATGTATTCCTAGTAGGCACATGCACACAGTACTCATGCATACACCACATTATATACACACGGCCAGCCATCTACACAGATGACACAGACAGACAGACAGACACACAGAGCACTTACACAAACAGTATCAACAGCTTCATCCTGTTCCTCCCTCTGGCTGAGGACAGCGGTTTGCTGTTGGGAATATATGTACATACATATAAGGTGGATTCCTCCCGCAGCTGTGCTCAGATGTTCAGTCTGCCCACTAGCTGCCCCTGGATCCCAGTCTCCTAATCTGGCATCTAGACACATTAGCTCACAAGGCCTGCAGCCCCTCCTCCAGTTGCTGGTACTGACACCTCCTTTATATGTGTAAACCTCACTCCCCCCCTTTGAAACCTCCACCTAGAGCTGGCCAAAACTCCCCTGCTCCCCCAGTACCAACCCATCATGGTCTCTCCCTCAGACATACACCCCCCCACACCACCCCAGTGGGGCTCTTCCCTAGAAACTTCCCACACCCCATGGTCACTCCAGTAGCTGTCTGGGACTCCCTTAGTCCCTCTGATAGGGTCCTAGCTCATCCGGAAATCTTCCCTTCAGAGACCCCCACCCCTGCCTCCCAGGCCATCGCAAGTACTGCAAGTACTTCCCAATTCATCTAGCTGGATCTTTGCTTGCACTCACACACGCTCTTGCTTCAGGCTTTGCACCCAGGGAACATGGGCCTTTGATTCCAGGGACCGGCACTTGCTGTCACACAGGTCTCCCCAGCTGCCATCACACAGGCAGAGGGGCCATCTGGCCCATGGTCCCAGTCCAGCTGCTGCCACCACAGACATAGGGGCCCCTACAGCTGAGATCTCGCTCCAGTTGCTGGTCCTGAAGTCCAGCCACTCCAGTCTCTAGTTGCTGCACCATGGACACATGGGTCCTCCAACCCTCAGTGACTCCTGTATACACATACACGCACCCCGAATAGTCAGTCACCCATGAAAAGAGTCAGAAAGCAATTTGCCAAGAGGACAGACTGCACTAACTGGGCACAGGGCGTGGCCAGACAAGTGCATTGTCCAGCAACTATTTATATGTAACTCCTCCTTCTTATCCACTTATCCCTTTATTGTCTCACACTCATTCCTCCAGAGATCACTTAGACCTATCTCTTTGGAACCTTCAGTTCCTCCCTTAAGCATCTCACAATAAGGCCTGTGCAGTGCCAAAATGCTTTTCTCCTGCATCCCATAATACATCACAGCACAGCACTAGGCAGCAGCTCCTTCAGTCTGAAAGGTGCTGTGGTGTTGGCTCATCCTGGTGTTCTTCAGATCTGGAGCTTAGGCTCTCCTAGGAGACTGTCCTCTGAGTTTTTTATTTGGGATCCAGCTGGCCTTGGGGCCTTTGTGCTCCTCTGTGCTTGTGGAGATGGGTCTCTGATGGGCCATCTCCTGTGATGGGCCTGGGAGCAGCAGGGATGGAGTGTTACTTGGGGTCCCCCACCTGCCATTGCCTCTCTGTGGGGGTGCAGAGGAGCTTTTACTGCATAACCTAACATTCCACATCCTCCTTTCTGATGGGTTCATGTTCTATGACTTCAGAAGATTTGGACCCAAGTCAGTGAATGAAACCAATCTTTGTCAAGCACCTCGACAGCAATGTGCCGTCTCAAGAGAAAATCCAATGGCTTACGGTGGCTTCTCAACCTCCTGCTAGCTTATGGACCATAAAAACGTTAATTACATATTGCAAATGGCAGTACCTGATACTTAGGTCATAGATGGCATAGGGGTTTGGGTGTCCTTCCCCTCCTGCAGTACACATCTCTGTTAAGTGCATGGTGCTATGAGTTACAGTTTTGAATTTGCTTTATACTGCACGCTGAAAATGTACTCGCTAGTGAACTGTGCTCACAATGGCTGATTCTTTGGTAGATAAATGTCCTGAGTAATATTCCTGTTTTGAGGTTGCTTGCTTCTGGGAAGGTTATGGCAGAGATCTTAGAGTTATGCTTCGTAACATGAGAAACATTATCACAGCAGTTTTTTTTTTTTTTTTTTTTTTTTTTTTTCCTCTGAGAAAATACCGTTAAACCTGTTTTTAGGCGTGGAAGAAATCAGTGGAAATTAACCTTCATCGGTCTTACCTGTTGCGGAAATCCACCCTCTCAACCTTCTCTGGTAATTTCAGGTTATTAGAACCTAAATGTTACATTCAGCTGTTTGATATACCACTGGCTGAGTGTTCCTCCCACACGTCAAGTAAAAAGGTTAACTCTTACCCGTTATGTGGTTTTGCTTCCATGACAGCTACTGTGAGTGGGCTGTCAAGTGGAAAGAAGAAAATACCTTCTGAAGTTCTGGTCGTTTCACAATATTTTAACTCTTCTGAGAATCTCAACCCTCTTTTGACATAAGTAAGGACAAGGTAAGTGGATGAATTTACACTGAAACATTTAAAGTAGTATTTTGTGCTGTTGACCAGGTTATCCCATTATGGTCCGCAAGTGAATGTGAGTACCTCCTTTGGCTTCTAATACTTTGTTTTTTTTTCTGTATCCTTGAATGTCTTACACAACTGAGAAAAAGACAGTGCTCTTTATTTTTGATAAGCTAATGCGTAGACTTAACAACTCTTCTTGCACTACACAGTAGCAAGGCAAGGGGCCTTCATTGTGCTCAAATCTTGGGGAGAGAATATCTGTTCTTAGCAGAGAAGGGTAGGCAATGCTCTTACCATTATTCCTGCTTATGAAATTTGCAGACATGAGTACCTTGTGTAGAAATGTCCAGTCATTATTAGCAGCCATTTGGCACAGCTTGAGATTAATGCTGTAGGGACTCTGAGTTTGTGTAGATGGATGACTTACTACTGGTGTTCCAAGGACTGTTGAGTTATGAGAGTTATGAGAGTTATGATCAGATGACATGTTTCTTAAAATGCCTGTGGCATTTTATGTACTGTTTTTCCCAACATTTCTGTCTCTGGTTACAGTGAACCACTATTAGCAATAGAGAATTTTCCCTAGTGGGGAATTTTCCAATAATGGGGAAGTTTCCTGAAGAAGTAGGTGGAGTTACATCAACATTTAAGTTCAGTCATAAGAAGTCTTTGAGCAAATAGTTCTGTTTTTCCTGTCTTCTCCATTTGATTGTGAAGGAAACATACAGCAGCAATACTGAAGAGCATTTTGCACAGTGAATATAATTTTGCTTTTATAAAACTGTGTTTGCCATAGATGTCAGAAGCCAGCAGGAGGAGAGAAGTGGCATTGTGGTAGATTCTGTAAGAAAAATAGAAGATTGCAGCTTTGGTAAAGATCTTTGATTGGCATCTGGGTCTCAAGCTACTTCAACTGATCCACCCAGGGGATCCTTTTGCTCAGTGTGAAACAGGAGAAGGGTCTATAATGGTTATTGCAGCAGTTTTTTTCATGCACATCTGGATTTGACCTGGACCTACTTTTTTTTTTTTCTCTCCGAAAGTGAAAAATTGAGTACAGCAGCAGACTTTTTCAGCCTTGAGGAATTTTGTAAGTAGTCATACTTGTTTTGTGTGTGGTAAGGTTTGTTTTCCTCTATGGTGGGAGAAAGCACACAAAGTTCAAAAATTGCAGAATAGAAGCATCGGTCTTAGAATTGTAAAAGCCGACTTGTTGTCATCTGTCTTCCAGAACTTAGTCAGAACACTACTCCTGACAAAAAAAAAAAAAAAAAAAAGGGTATGGGTTGCATGCATGGGTATGGATACTTTTCTGTGACTGTAGTGCACGTGATATTTGTTCTGAGCAGTCCCTCAGCTACAGCCTTTACTTCAAAAAAGTTCGGGTTTCAAAAAATTTTGGGGTTGAGTGTGCTACAACTCTGGTTATTTTGGCATGGGGAGCATAGAGGGGTACACAGCTGTATCCATCAGACTCAGTGGCTTCCTCTTCTGCAGGCTTCCCTCGAGATTAAGTGTGATCAGAGCACACTTGTGAGATGGGTATGCTGCTGTCTTGTTTGAGAAGCCTAACTCTGGAGCTTAGCTGGTGCCTTGGACTGCTTGTTACTCAGGCAGCGGCATCATGGTGGAGGCACTCTCATGCATAGAAAACTTAGTTACCCACAGAATTAGGCAGCAGTTTGCTAGTTCTTTTAAGTACATCACTTGTGGCTAAGGAATGAATTTGGTACCTAACCACATTAAGAAGCTCAGGATTTACTTATCAGCGGAACAGATCCTCAGAAAGATCTTACTTGTATTTTCCTGCCCCTGTTGGCAGAACATCCTTTTGTAATTGCTCATGCCCGCCTAACAATGTATTAGATTGACTCCCTTTCTCAGCTCCATCTCTGTTGCCTTCTGCAAACCTGCCATTGGAATCAGGCAGCAGCAATCTGTGGAAAAAAGTACTAAATCAAATCAAATTCTTATGAGGAGTCTAATTCCCTTAAGCCATAATGCTGTAAAGGCACATGTGTCTTATGACTCAGGACAATATTGTTACTTTATTACCAATTTAAAGTTGACAATCAGAGAAAGAAAGACAAAACATTTTACCAAAAATGCTAAAAGCCGCAGTCCAGATAGAGTTTCATCAGTTAAGAAGTGTGATGGGTATTAGTTGCTTAATTTCTTATGCAAATGCTGAAACTACCACTAGAAAGCAGTTTGAGGCATTCTTCCCTTATTTTTGTGTCTGTTTGGGTATCCAAAATGAGGACTTCATTTAGATAAAATTCTACAGTTCTCTGTACTCACAGAAGACTTCCATTACATGAGTTTGAATTTTGCTTGACAGTAATTTGAGAAATGATGGCAGTGTTTGATACTAGTATTGCTCTGGCTTAAAATACGCACTTAGCAAGTGCAATGGGTGTGTGAAGGTTAAGTGTATGAATTGACATTAATCAATGTTTTATAATGTTAAAGTGTTGTGTAGGAATATAAAAGATACGTCAATAAAGAGGGGAATACTTCTGACGGAAAATTAAAATAATTTACATGTTCAGAGGTACAGCAGCAGAAATTCAAGAAAATAGATTTTGGTTGTAGGCTGACTGCTTTTGTCACTGTTTTACAAAGACACTATAGTGTAAATATTAAGTAATTAATTATTGCATGAATTCTGTTCACAATATATCTAACTTCATAAGCCTCTTGATAAATACTGTGAGGCCAGGTATTATAAAACAGGGTATGTTCACAGTATGTTAAGACGAACAGATGGGGAAGAACTAAGTTCTATTTCTTCCACTAAATGCATATAGAAAACTCCATTCTCCTCCTAGCGGAAGCAACTCTGTGCTACAGTTTAGGAGAACAATTGGGTATTTGTGAGTATTTATTTACTAATTGACAGTGATAAAGCATATATTTTGCCATAACCAAGGACAAATGTTTAAAGCAAATAAAATTAGATGTTCTTCCTGGACCCATGCAGGAAGCTTTCTGCCCGATCGTCTGCTGTAGCTAAAGGTGCAATTTTGTCATGTTTTTTCCTAGAGTGGAACTTGATGCCTCCTGTCCCGTTCATGTGGAGGGATTAGGAAGTGTATTTTACAGTGCAAGTTAGAAAATGAGCACATAATTATATTTGTCTATTATTTTATCATTTCAGGTTCTGTCTATGTCATGGAAAAGCCTTTGCTTTTGTATGTATTTTTATTCTACTGGCATTTCCTAAATGGTAAGAAGCTGAGTCATGAGAAGCAGTAGAACTGTTTGTTTCCTTTCCATGTATAAGCACAGAAACGTTAATTCATCAGTTTTCCTTCAGGTGTCAGCATTTGTTTGTTTTTTTTTTTTCTTAATGTTTTAAATAAAAAGGTCTTAGCATGCTTTTACAGTAAACTAGATAAGTGTGCTTTGATATGGGGTCAGTTTGAAATCCCTGTTGATGTTTCAGCATAGACATCATTTCAGACAAGGTACCATTTGCATTACATAAAGAGTTTTATTGGCACTGTCAAACCTGGGAATTGTTCTGTATTCTTTAACATTGTGTGTAAAAACAATTGACATTTGTTTAAACAGAACATTCCCATCCAAGGCACTAACAATTGCCCGTTATCGTGGCAGTATTCTGAAAGCAACAGCTGAGGGATTGTGCACACATGTTCACCTATTTTTAGTACAGCATCATACTGCATGTGTCCACAAGGCAGGTGTCTGCAGGTATAAATAGTGCAGTTTGTCCCAAACTTGAGCATACACATGCAAAACATTTAACTTTTCTGAAGAGGGCTGATACTTTTGGTCCTTAAAATGTCCTATATATATGGTAAGACATGACTTTGAAGATTAGGCTTATAATTGGAAAATTAAGTTTTCTTTCAAATTTTGTTTTTCAGCTTTATTCACAGTTGAAGCTCCTCAGTCACTCTACACTGTGGAACATGGGAACAATGTGACCCTGGAATGCACATTTCCAGTGAATGGGAAATTAAAGTTCAGAGATTTAAGTGTCAGCTGGGAAAAGAAAGACAAGTTAAAGAAGCAGGTTTATGTACTTCTCAAAGGAGAGGAAGACTTCAAAAGTCAGCATAGTGACTTTAGGGGCAGAATAAAATTGTTGAAAGAGAATCTGAACTTGGGCCAGTCTCTCCTTCAGATCACTGATGTGAAGCTCAGAGATGCAGGGTTTTACCGCTGTCTTATTGGCTATGGGGGAGCTGACTACAAGACAATCAATCTGAAAGTTAAGGGTGAGTATGCTTTCTGATGCTGTTAAAAGATTTCAGAGGACTCCTTGAAGTAAGGCATGTCTGGATTATCATTTAAAGAAACCTCTCCAAAGACAGGAGCCACCTCATGGCCCTTGTGCAGCTCTATAATATTGTGGTTTTGTTTAGGTTGAATCCATGTTCTGTCCTTTATTTTCCATAATGACATGTGAGGAAAGGTGCTGCAAAACCATTTAGACCCGAAAGCTAATGCAATTTTCTAAACAACGTCAAAATTGTAAAAAATCCTGTACCTTTTCCTGTCAATATTGTTTGTTATTTATAAAATCCAAGCTGGTGTACAGAAACTTGACCCAGGGGCTAGAGATAAAGAAAAGGTGTCTTGCTAATATATGTTGTTCTTCTGGCTTCCTAACAGTAGTCATTTTCTTGCATGTGTTTAGCTCCTTATAGAACTATAACTCAAGGGGTGGTGAATACAGGAGATAATGAATGGAAGTTGACATGTCAGTCAGAAGGATATCCACAAGCTGAGGTGATATGGCAAAACAGAGAACATGAAGATTTGACTGATAAGGCAAACACAAGTTATGAAACTGGAAGTGACCAGCTGTATCGTGTGACAAGTACCCTTACAATCAAAAGTAGAATTGATGAGATTTTTTACTGTGTATTCTGGAATAAAGAGCTGCAAGAAAACACATCTGCTGTTTTACACATAGCAGGTAACATTTCTAAATTTCATTTATGGTTATACACTTTGATGTAATTTCGTCCCAGCTGAATCAGCCATGATTTGTTTCTCTTTGCTACCTAATTTTGAAAAGGCTAAAAAGAAATACCTGTGTTGTTAAGCTTTGCTATTAGTGTACACTTGCACCGTAACTAACATGTGCATCATAAATGTGTGGATAGAATTCAAGGACAGGAATTTTTCATGACCTACAGTTATGTGAAAATTGATTTTGAGTGTTAAAAAAAGTTCAATTATTTAAAAAGCATATAGCTTGGAACCTAGAAATAAAACCCTTCTATATAAATTAAACACAGCTTCCAAGAATATTCTGTTTTGCTGATGATAACTGTCAAATAAATTTGAACAATATGGTCTTTTCCTGCCACTACAGCCTTTGCTTTGAGCATATTTAAATTTAACAAACTGTAGACAGGTTTTTTGTTTTTCTCATAAAGTTGGGATTGAAGGAGGATGCATGAATGGAGAAGACCAATACAGTTTCTCATTAGACCTTTTAACTGGGCACCACCACTGCTGCTTTTGCTTTTAGCTACTTTTCTAATTTCTGCATTGTACTCTGATATGTTTGCACAAGCTTTCAGCCAGAGTGGAGACCTGATCCAACTCAAAACCAGTATTTCTGTTTATCAGACTGTTACTTGGTCAGGTCATTTCCCTGGTCCTCTTCACCACGGGGTTTTAAAAATGCCTGTACTGGCACACTTTTTGAGGCTGACAAGGGGTGGAAACAGGCAGCTGAGAGTGAGAAAGCCAAGTCATCCTTTCAATGAGTGATAAGCAGGCAAGTTTAGTTTCAACAACAAACACCTCTGGGATTCAAGTGGGCCACATAACCTTTGCATTCAGAGTTTTACCAGAGGAAAAGGTCTCTGTTTCTTTCTCAGTCACCTTTTTCCTGTAGTCCTGATGGGAAACTCATCTATGTGTAACACTTTGTACTTTGGTGACAAGCAAGATTAGCGATAGGAATCAAAGGCACTGTCACATAGACTGCAGGAAGCAAAGATATATATGAATGTGTTCTATCTTTTTTTTCCTTTATTGAGATGAAATTTCACTAAATGCACTATCAGCACCTGACTTTAGACGCAATCTCAAATGCTGTTATCATGTCTGAATTGCTCATACCAAAAATAATATGCTGAAAATGAACAGAAAAGGGAGAAGCTTATGCAGTTATGTAATGACTTTCCTCCACTTGTTTTTCTCTAAGATTCAGCTGATGGTGTTCTGTGGACTGAGAGTAGACGCTTTGTTGGAGCAATTCTGATTGTGACTGCTTTTTTTGGATCACTGATGCTATTTATGCTCTGCATAAAAGGTATTCCCATTATTTAGTTTATTGTATCTCAGTTATTATCAATCTGTTAATTCATCCTCACAGAGGTGGAACGAGATAATAAAAGTCTGCCCTAGACCTGTAACCACTAGATTTTTTTACCACCACATTGTTTATTTCTTTATCTGACTTAGTTGAACACCAGCAAGTTAGCAGAGTGGGACAGGTTGTCAGCCCCTCAGAAACCATTTACCTATGTATCTCTATTATTTTGTCTTACAGGTAATGATTAGTGTTCAGTCTATACAAACATCAAAGCATAGCTTACGCACCTCCTGGAAATTGAATTTCTGTGTTTTCCCTTTTGATTGGGGACCAGAATGCTGAGAGCAGACAGGGCACTGGAGGTTTTTTAGAGTTTTTTCTTCCTGCATTCTCTGAAAAATTTCACTGAATTGTGAGCACATTTTTTTTAAAGTGATCTAATTGTTATGAATTCTACATGTATCTCTATTCTGGTTAAAGCCTCATAAAAATGGTGGTCTACATATGAAATGATATGTCCAAGGTTTTGAGTCTGAAAGATTTTTTTTTTCACAAGAGAGAGTATTCCCACTGTGGCTTCATACCACTTGATTCATTTCCTTGTTAAATTTTGAGCTTTTTCAGTTCACTGACTTGAATTGGACATTTTCAGCATCACAAAATGCTGGAAAGCTAAAGCACTGGTGGTAATTTGTTTTCATTTGCTAGCTAACCAAAGAAAAAATTAGGAGAAATAATTTTTAGTGTATCTGAGCATGAAAATTATATGGTTTGCCCCCAAATTAAAGAAAAAATGTTTGAAACATGTTGCTTAACCTGAAATAAGTACTGTAGTAAAATAAGTACATTTTTTGATTTGTTTGGTTGGTTTGTTTTTTTTTTCTCCTTGGTGAGAACATGGATGTATTTGAGGATTTTATATTCAGGGGTACTTTTTACTCTTCATTTTAACAGATACAATAAAGTCATGTGTATCTCAGAACATCCATAGAACTCATTTGAAAATGTCAAAAGGACATTTAGCTGATGCGTAGCTACTTCTTTTTTTCCAAATAACTTTTTGAATTTTTTTTTTGTCAAGTTATCTGTAGAGAAAATGTACAAGAGGCACTGAAGCTGGTACAGTACTCTTAGCATTATAATACCGCACCACTCTGTAAATTATTACCAGAAATGCTCCAAAACCTTGAATGAGATAGTTGATTAAATGTTCCTCTCAAAATTCTTGAATTTTATAGGAGATGTAAATGTGTGTAGCTAGCATGAAACTCATCTGGAATTAATGCAAAGGCTACTTGTACTGTCTTTTCAAGTGCTATCTCAAAAGCTTCTAGACTAAGAGAGGTGTACTTTCTGAAATGGTATATCAGAATTGTTGGTTTTCCTGTCTGCCAGCTCTCTCTTCCACAGTGAAAACTAGATACAGCCCTAATTTCTGACTGGAAATTACACAAAACCATCTATAACCACGTGGCATTCATGTTCAAGTTCCATAAAATAAATACAAGGTAGAACTAAATGTGGATATTCAGTGTTTTGGTCACAAACTCATCTCCTGCATCAGTGCTATGGAAACATGTCCTGGCTTAACAGGCTATCATGTCATGCTAAGAGGCTGCAGAAGGCCTGTAGATAACCCTTGCATATATAAGAACATATTTGTCTTAAGAACATGATAGGAATAGGAGCAGAACATGAAAGTGGAAGAAGGGACAGCAAAATCCTTGACTTCTCAGAAGATTCCCATCTGGGGATTTCAGTGAAGGTCAGAATTTTCCTAGGTTGCTTTTGTAATATTCATTGTTTGTGTGTATACATGGTAGTACATATACATGTTACGATGTATGTGTCATGATTATGTTATATACGTGTGTGTGTGTGTGTGTGTGTGTGTGTGAGATAAACTACAAGTAGTAGTAATAGGTTTTTCTTTTAAAACTCAAGCTGTTCTACATAACTGGAAAGTGATTCTTTCAGAACAGAACCTCACTGGAATATGGGCTTTTTTCCCCTCAAAAAGCACTGAGAAGGTGATCCCCTTCTTGTTCCCTAATGCCAAGTATGTTAAAATTCTGGGTGAAAATATGCGATGGAAAACCATTTGAACAAGTATTTTCCAGTGATGTTGGTGTATTACATCAATGGAATTCTGGCTTAGGAACAAGGAAAGGAAACTGTAAAGGAAACTGACAGACTGGGAGCACTGAAGAATATATTTTAAAGTCTTTGAAGAAATGGAGTGTTTCAATAGCCAGTGATTACACTGTGCTAAGTATGCCCTTCTGATCGGTGTGCTTATGTCCCCATTAGATCAAAATTAGTATTTTGATTTCTATTTGATTTTTGTCTCTTTTTTTTCTTTCAGCTAGAGCAAATAAGGACAACAGAACACCTGTGGCTAGTTCATCGATAGCAAGTATGTACACATGGAATAAATATAGCTCAGTGTGATTCTTGTAGAAATAATTGCTTGAGAATTTACATTGTAACAGTGACAACCAAATGCGGATTTTCATTCAACTTTAACTTTGCTTTCTACTTTTAATTTGTGTAACAACTACAAATTACAGTTGAAGTGTAACTTTTTCATTACTATATCAACTTGAAAGGAAATTGTGAAAGAAAAGCATACTTGTTCCAGGAGCAAATGCAGTCCTGAGATGTGCAAGAAAAGGACAGAGTGGTGTGTCATGTTTTGGAAAGTCTGTCATAGGATGGGACATGCTCCCTCGAACAGATGACTCAGGATGGCAGCACATCCTGGTGTGCAGACTCTATGCTGTGATTTGAACCATGTTGGCATGATCCTGTGTTTTCTCTAGTATTATAGTGTTCATTTGAGGGTCTTTGTTACAGCATTGAGGACATAGAGTTTGATCCCTGTTGAATGAAACACAGGAAGAAGCTTTAGCTTCCCTAACAGTTTGTTTTTCCTCCTGTTGAGATACTGATGGTATTTGCCATGATCTAAGCTCATTGAATGACCAGTACCACCATGACAGTGAGAAATGGAGGAAGGAGTGGAGAGATTTAATATTTACTGTGGGAGAGAAGACATTCAAATCCTTTAGCCTCCTCTCATGATGGCTCATGCCTGGTGGGTTTTGGGTTTTTTTTAATTCGTTGCATGGTTTTATTTGGAGACCACTTCAAATTGAACTGCTTTGTGAAAGTTAGTTCATACTGGCAGCTGGGGGTTTTCCTAAGAAAACCTACTGAAGATACCCACCCAAAAGGAAACAACATTTAGTATTAATCTATTCTCTCGATGTGCATTTAAGTCACATAGTTCTGGGATGGCTTGTGATAGCAACTTTTAACAAAGATTTGTCACAATATGAAAAATTTAAACTATGCTGAGTGTTATCTGTATGTATGCCATTTGTTTAAAGAGCTATCAAAAGATAAGGATACACATGACTGCAGAGATGCTTCTTTTGAAGATAAAGAGCTGAAATGTAAGTATAAATGATAAAAGGAAAAACAGTAGCAAATTGCACACAGCATAAATCATCCATGGTCATGGGAGTCTTGGTTTGTGGCTGGTTTATTTAGTCCCTTGTTTTGACAGACAGAGTCCTCAAGAGAAGCACCTCCTCCCATTCTGTATTACAAACTCAGCATCATAACGCATTGTGTACTGGGAGTTAAATAATTAATCTGATTTTAAAAATAAAATAAAAAAAAACACAAAAAAAAACATGAGAAGGAAAATGTGATATAGAGATATATAACAACCCAAATAATTTTTTTCTCTAGTTGATGTTTTTGTTACAGAAACAGTTGTGCCAGCACAGCTGAAGGAGCGGTGATGGCAATGGGGTGGGAGACCTTATATCCATCACGGCCACCGAAGTCTCAAGCTGTGAGATTCTGTCTCAGCAAAGCAAGAAAATAAATGACTAAATCTCTGAAATCTCTGAAACATACTGTAGTATGGAACAGAAGTGTGAAGTCACTGCAGTTTTTCTTTCATGTCCTTGCTGACTTCTAAAGCACTTATATTAATGACATCCAAAATCCCTCCCTGCTACACTTTACTATAGTAAACATAAAAAAGTGTAAGCTGCTGGTCTTAAAGATATAGATCTCCAAGTCAAAGAGCTAGGGCCTGGGTCTACGCTGCTAGGAATAGTGACAGATAGCACACTGAATGCATTTGAAAGAATTTTAAAGATTTTTAAAAATGGCAGACCTAATCCACAGCAATTTCACTGTATTTTCTAGAGGGCACTTCCCACCAGTCTGTTTGAAGTACAACTGTATTTTCTTCCATGATCATCTTAATTTGCTATTTGACCTTTTAATTAATTTCATTTTAGATCTTTATTTTGACAATGAAGGAAACTTTTTGATACCTTCAAACTCTAGGAAAGAGTCCCAAAGCCATGAAATGTTCCGTGACTTTATAATTTTATAATTTGATAATTTTTTCATATAATTCTTCCTTTTACAGATATGCAAATTGACAAGACCTAGAGAAAGCAGGGGAAGCTTGTTTCCTCGGTGGTGAAGATTTGACAGCTCAACATTCTGTGTTCTGTCTGTTAAGGGGGATATTAATTTTTCGATTTTATTCTGTGATGGCAACCTTCTATATCATTGTAACTCAGAGAATGAATTTAACAATTATTATAGCATAAAAAGTCCTTGGATTCAGGTTTCTGTGTATGTGACTAGGTATGGAGGTATTTATTTAAATATCTAGGTTTCTGCTTTCTCAAGTTTATGCACTTTCAAAGACATATTTAATTAAAAATATCTTTAAGGTAAGCACTTTAGGTCTATGACCATCATGAATTTCATAGCTAGTTCTTGAATAGGCTGTCTTCTGGGATATTTTTTTTTTCCTTTCTTCCCCAACTGAGCTCTCTGTTCCCTGCAAAGATTTTGTTTTCCAGCTTTGGAAGAAATTTTTCAATACTTTGATCCTTATATAAGATAAGGATGCAACAAGACAAGATGCCATACAGACAGGGCACTTTCTGTCCTTACTGTCGATCTTAAAATACCAGATACTCACAGCTAAGGCTGAAATAGATGGTGTAGCCCTTTTGGCAACTATGGTTTGGAAATTATTAGATAATAATGAGTTTCTTGATCCATTCTTCTGGAAAGTGTTTTGGAGACTTAATTTCCTTGTGATATAGCTGGCACTACTTGGTTACTGCTCATTACTGTTCTGATTTACAATTTGGGGATAATGGGACTCGTTGGATATTCAGGAAGAATAGCTCTTGGACTGCCTTTTTGTTCATCTTGGGAATAGAAGAAAGAGAACTTCTAGGACAGGAAGTACACGCTCATGTGACTACTTAAGAAATGCTGAGGAAACATGCTCCTGGGTCCCATTTCTTAAGCTATTGCTTTGTTACATTTTGCTAGGTGCACAGATTTTTGGGGGGTTCCTACACAGATGAAAATTATTTATTACAATGCTATTCACATTTTTTTTTAAATAAAATGTTTTGGTTTTCTTGTGTTTTATCCTACTCTATTTGACTTGTCAATAAGTAGTGTTAGCACTATTTGTTTTGTTTGTTTTTTTTTTTCTGGAAAAATGAGGTATCTAAGATTTGGGTGTAGAATAGTGTCTAAACCCATGTCATCCCTCTGATGGCTTCCACAATGAAGAGAGAGTAGAGAGTTGGAATCTCACTGGCCTCAGGTTTTATTTTTGAGTTTAAAATAAATTAGTCTGTTGTGCATTCCTAAGAATGTAAATGCAGCCCTCTGCCCAGGGCTTCACTTCTGGTAATATTCAATCTAGCTAGTGTAAAGTTGTGTTTAATATTTCTCAGCAAGCTGCCCTATATATTAGGATAGAGAAATTAATCTCATAACCTTAATGGAGTTGGTAGACCTCAGTTAAATAAAATAGTTACTATAAAGTGATTTCCCTAATTTGTTGCAAGCTTGCATATTCTTGTGATTTAATTCTTCAAGGATGCTTTGTGAACTTGAACATCCCATCCTGCTTCCCATCATGCTTTTTGAGGCCACAGTCTGGGTGTCACTGAAGCAATGGCCGATTTTTAATTATTCCCAGAGTGCAAGAATGGTTTTGGAAATATTAGGGCCATTTGTAGAAGCACTGACTCTCCTCAACACACAAATGTAGTTTCATATCACCACATAAATAATTCCCCTTCCAGACAACCTCTTAATTTCCTACTTCCTCTTTGAGACTGCAACAGCTGTTTGCATATTAAAATAAAAGTGAAAAGTCTACTCCTTTTAGTTATTATCGACCTCTGTAAGGCCATGCTATTAGTGCATGCTTAGTGTCATGGAACTGAAGTTGCTATCTTTAACAAGCTCCACCAGACAGCAGGAACTGTTACTTTTATCTTTTCCCAGCAGCAGAAAAAGTAAGTTACTGTTGATAATGCTGTATATCATATGAGTAAGATAATGAAATAAAGGGATATAAATATATTTTTCAATACTGTAGCTGAACTCTACCATCCAAAATGTCAGTTCCTGAATTCCCGAGTGGTTGATAAGAAGCTTGACATTTTGCTACTTCATTAGAAAAGCAGGGTTATGTGGTAGATAACAGATGATGTGAAAAGACCTGTCCTCTCTAAATAAGGTCTATTTCATGTTTTTCTGACATCTAAAACAGAACTTGCCTAATCTAATTTTAGTAATTTTACAAATTAAGCTTTTAGGATAAGCTGTCTCTCAGCTTCATTTTTATGAATACATGGAGACAGGCCCACATGCTCATCCTCCAATGCCATGAGTTGTTTCAGCACAATTACTTTCTACTCAGGACAGAGGGACAATACATATGTAACTGAAAATATGACACATTTACATCATGAGAACTAGGTAAAAGGAAATCCTTCTTACCCTAACATAAAAAATGTAGTTAAACACCGTATTTGTAGTAATATTTTTTTCTTCAGTTAACAGTTTTTGTATGCTACTTCAGTGATTTTGTAAAGTGAAATTAAGCAGAAAGCTAGAGCAGCTTCAGTAAGTTGCATTTTGCTTCCTAATGGCCAGGCATTATTAGATGCCCAAAAGTGCTCAGAAAAGCCTGGTTCATGTGCACAATCTAAATTGGCTTATTGGTATTTGAGTTCAGAACTCACTCATTTGAAAAATGTATTAATGAACCAGTCTGATGGCCTATTTTGTGATGTGATATTTAATTTTGTAGAATGTGAATGCCATTACTAATAACAATTACATTAAAGAATAACTAATAATAACAATAGAATCATTGCTATTGACCTGCAGGGCTTTTCATAGAGCAGCATGCAGAATGTGTGTCCCTGTTCCCTTTTGGCCAAAAAAAGTAACTTCAGGGTCCTTGAGCAACATGTATCCATGGTGCGTCATCCAAGCATGGGCTGACCAGCAAAATGGCAGAGATGCAACCAGTGGAATTTCTGCTTTTGCCAATGTGGACTTCTGGTTTTGCAGCATCTTCTCTCTGATTCCCTATCTCCCTCTCTGTATGTCTCTGGTCTTGCAATCTAGGTGACTGTCCCATCCAAGTCCTTGCCAAGTACTGCTGTGTTCATGAGATGCCCAAAGCAGGTCACTGCCTCTTGGGCAATGGCACTGAGCTTTCTGTGTCCCTGTCCCAAAACAGGATCACATGTAGAAAACCAGAATGAGTATAAGATGGTGATGGTGACTGTAAAGTAACTTCGGGGTACCTTTTCTGTCAGGTGGGAAGAGAATAAGGAACACTTTTGCTTTCTTTTCAGAAGCAGTCTCAATACCTGCAGGGAATTTAGACACCTAGACACAGGAGGTAGAGATTCCTCAACAAACAGGTGAGGAAGTTGTGAATGAGGTAGGCAAGCACAGGGATAATCAGAAGAAAAGGAACACAGCAATCAACACAACAAGGCTTCCCTGAGGACTCTATGCAGGTAGAAAGTCTCTCTTGGTAGGACACTGGTGTTATGCAAAGGCATTTTCTGGGAATCATCATGACCCAGCTGGGACATCCATTTTTTACAATGTCTCTGGCAGAGGGTTATCTCCTGCCTTTCCCTCCTCAAAATGCCTATGGGCTCTATACATCTTGCACATCATATTTTTCTGCCTTAGTTTTACCATTAATAAATCCTTTAAAAAATGTTATTGCTTGAAAAGTGTGTTTGCATAAATACTTCTCCCGAAATAGGCTATTTGTCTTAGTATGGAAGGCTACAAAGCAAGGTGTTTAAGAGTTGGTGGCAGGTGGAGGGTGAAGGTGGAGGTAAGAGAAACAGTAGGCATAAGCATCAGTCAGGAGGAAGTGTCTTTGGACATTTCAATTCCCCCACTTTCACATACTTATGGAAAGAGCACAGCTCTAGTTTGCTACCACCTTTTCCTTTTATTGAAAATGTTAAGATATCAGACAAACTTGATTTTAATTGCAAATCATGGATCAAGCTTAATTCTGGCCCTATGGACTTTTGTCTTTCAAGCATCCAGTCATCCAAATCACTGACTTCTGACAGCTGCCAAAGATGTCATTGGAGTTTTTCTGGAAAAAGGTTGGGCTGCTTGGGAATTACTTTATGGTATAGGGCTACACAGGATAAGTTTACTGAGAAAGGAAAGAAAAAAAAAAAAAGTAGTAGCATAACAGTGGTTTTGTTGACGTGGACTGCTCTGCACCAAGAAGGAGACACGATTTTATGGTGTGAGTCAGACTGGAACTGTGAGACAGGTAATCATCATACACCATCCCAAACCAGCTGGGATTCATGGGACTAAAGCCATAATCATTATTTATATGGAGACAGAGCACAATTCTCCCAAGTGATGAGGAATTAACTGGAGATAAAAGAGTATGTATGTCCCATATGAAGCACCAATGCATCTGGGAAACCTGGGAAGAGATGACTTCATCCTCTTTTATGTCTCCCACTCATGGTGTGGTCATAAATTAAGAGTCATGACCTGCAGCATGGAAGGAAATAGAACCTAGTAACAGTAAAATGCACAGAGATATCCGCTGATAAGGCGAAGACAAAACAGACTGTATGAAAGGAGCTCTGGCAGTCAACCTAGCTTAACCTTCCACTCAAAGCAGTGCCACTCTAAATCTAATTGCCCAGGCTTTGTTTTGTCAAGTGTGGTAAATCTGCAGGGATGGAGATTCACAACCTCCACGGGCAACAGTGTTTGACTACACTAATTGTGATTTTTTTTTTAAATAATATGCATATAAATAAAAATTAACATGAAATGTGTTCTGCAAATGTTAGGTAATCTCATGAGGAGTTCTTGTAAAAATATCCAAATGAAAATTAAGAAAATGTAATTTGATAGTTTCATGAATGTAGAACAGTCTTAGTAAATGCAAGTTCAGATGCCAAGGCTATATACTGCTTTAAATGGGTAAAAATCCAGCAAAAAACAATGGGTGCAATTAAAAGCAGAATTTGAGAACATAAATTTTACAGAATGCTCTGAATAAACTTGTTTGGATGCACACTCTCAGCAATGCAGAGCACTGAACTCAGAGTCTGTTCAGCATGAAACATCAAAATGAAACTGGAACTGCTTACAAATTCCTAAGAAACTTGGTGTTTCTTTTTAACACAGTCATTTTGTGACATAAGGCCTGAATAAGATCAGCCTACAAGCTGTGCTATCAGTGTATGTTTTAAACTGATCATGAGAGCTGGATAGTTTCTGCTATCATGCAAATAGGAGAGAGCTACTTTGTAAAACTTTGAAAATCTTAGCTGTTATATGAACCTGATTCTTCCAATGACTGCATAGAAATCTGATGTGAGTATAACTGCTAAAATGCAAATGAATGTTTACTGTATTTCTTTCTGATGGATTGCAGATTTTTTTCCTATATTCTCAAGATTTGCTTAAGCTTATTTTAAAATTATTTGTAGGGAGTGTACTCTGATTCTGAACCAGAAATGGGCTAAGTCCCAGATACCAAAACACATGTCCATATAACCTCAAACCCTGAGGAATAAAGTTTTAGAATCCGAACCTGTTTTGCAGCTCATTCTTCTGTCATAGGCAAAGGCAAAAAAAAAAAAAAATGGTGCTCGCGAGCCTCTTCAGCTTATGCATTGGGATGTTGCTGTTTGTAAATCTTTCCTTCTGAATTTCAGGAAAGAGTTATATGGAGGAAAAAAAACCAACCAAACAAACAACAAAACACAAAACCCCAACCCTCTGTATATATTTGTATCTATATGTTCTGCTTACTTTCTTTCAGTTGTTCTTAAACCCCTACCTGCAGATGGTAGGTTGTTTTGATTGTACAGCAAGTCTGGGGACTTTCTGCATTTGCAGGAGGAGCACAGGCTAGAAAGAGGAGAATTTCTTGTGCTTCTCTGAAAAGTATATCTTTCTGTAGAAGCTGGAGATATGAAAGAAAATTCGCAGGATCTCATGCCAAAGCGGTAGCCTGTATTGTTCAGTGCTAAGAGCTGAAAGGCGTGTGTTCTC